CCACCATGTTCATTGTTGGTGCAGCCTCACCATGAGTGCTGTGTGCAGTTCTGGGCTCCACAATTTAAGACAGATGTGAAGGTCCTTGAATGTGTCCAGAGGAGGGCAGCAAAGCTGGTGAAAGGGCTGGAAGGAATCTCCTATGAGGAACAGCTAAGGACTTTGTGTTTGTCTTGTTTGGAAAAGAAGAGGCTGAGGGGTGACCCCATGGTTCTCTACAGCTTTCCTGAGGAGGGGAAATGGAGAGGAAGGTGCTGATGTCTTCTCCCTGTGTCCAGTGGTAGGACATATGGGAATGGTTCAAAGTTGCACCAGGGAAGGTTTAGACTGGACATGAGGAAGCATTTTTGTGCCAGGAGGGTGGTCAAACACTGGAACAGGCTTCCTAGAGAGGTGGTTGATGTCCTGAGCCTGTTTAAGAGGCATTTAGACAATACACTTAACAACATACTTTTAACTTTTGGTCAGCCCTGAATTGGTCAGGCAGTTGGACTAGATGATTGTTGCAGGTCTCTTCCAACTGAAAGAGTCCATATTCTGTTGTCTTCTAAATCATTTGTTTAGCCTGGCTTTTCAGTGATGAATTGTCCGATCTCTTTCTGCTTAGGCCTTGACAAAATTCTTAAAATGTGTCAACTGGGACCTACCACAAGAGGCAAAGCAAGCACTGGAGCTGCTGGGCAAGTGGAAGCCCATGGATGTGGAAGACTCTCTAGAACTTCTGTCGTCTCATTTCACCAACCCAACGGTTCGGCGCTATGCTGTCGCCAGGCTTCAGCAGGCTGATGATGAGGTATTCATTGGTCTGTGGGTACATGTGAAAGTCAGCTGGTCTCAGGATTTTAGTCTCATTGAGCACTTGAAATGTTTGCTACTTTTTAAGGCATTTAACTAAATAGTAATGATGGAAGACTTAAAAAAACCCCATCACTGATTCTGTTTTCTGTAAGCTTTCTATGGAGCAAAGTCTTCACATTATTAAGTGGCACTCATTGATAATTGTCTTAGTGTGAACAGACAGTGATAGCTGGTTTTGGCAAACGAGGTGAAACACCCATATGTTCTCCCCAGAAATGAGTGATAAATTCTGAATCTTCACCTGCACAGAAGAGCTCTGAACTTAGTCTACTAAAAGATTTCCCACAAATACACCTTGTAAATTGAAGCAGTATATCATCATACTCTTTTTGCTAAAGAAAGTGAATAGAAAAGCATCTGTGGAAATAAGGTGTTTCTAATTGTATACTGATTATGGTGAGCTGTGATTTGTGAGTAGAGCCCACTTAATAGATGCTACTCTGTTAAATTTTAATTATTTCTATATTTTATTTTCTTTTGACAGTAAAAAAAAAATACTTTGTATTACCATAACTCTTGTATCCTTGGCAATCAATTGAGTTTAAAATAGGGAGCCTAAAATATGTCAATAACCAAGGTCATACTGCTTTGACTTTAAAAATATACCTTTTATGAAACATTTGGTGGCAGTCAGCTAAATGTAGCAAGTTGAATAGTAGAAGAAATGAATTAATTATAAACAAGTGATTCAAAGTCTGTTCTTTAATCTAAAATAGATCAGACATTTTCCTCAGCTACACAAGGGATCTCCTAAGGGGAAAAAAAAAAAAAAAAGGTGTGTAAGAGGAGAGAGAATCTGAATTTCCGGTACCATATGAATGCCATACCTGGTTCCAGATTTTATGTTTTAATTTTCTTCTTGGGAGCCACAAACTGCAAAGTTTATTTTGTGGATACTGGAAGCAAGTAGGGTAGAATAAAAAGAACTTTAAAGTAACAGTTGCACTTAAATATTTACTTAACTAGCATTTGCTACCTTTGAGTAACAAAAAATTAGAAGTTTCATAACTCTCAGTCTTTTAGAAGTCAAACTACATCCTACACCAGTTTTTCTGTTGTTTGTTGCTTGCTAGGGAGACTCCAGTTTCCATTTCTTTATAGGTGACTAGATCCTAAGTTCTTCTATAAATTAGAATTTTGAAAACATACGGAGTTCTAGTCAGCTTTGACTGACCCCCTCAATTAATTTTTATTTTTTTTTCCTCCACAAGGATTTGCTGATGTACCTGCTACAGTTAGTCCAGGCACTGAAATATGAAAACTTTGATGACATAAAGAATGGACTGGAACCTAGCAAGAGGGACAGTCAAGGTTCAATGTCAGAAAGTATGACAACATCTGGACCTAATGGTGCAGAAATAGACAGGTAAGAAGCTTAGATTTCCAGTAGAAAAGCAGAAACTTGTAACATTGTAAGCCCTCATATTTTTTCTCCTTTTTAGGGACCATTACATATTCAACATCCTACTTTATAATCAGAAGTGATTTTAAAAAAAAAAAAGTTAACCCCTGAGCTTTCACAGAATGTATTTCTTGACTACAGATAGCTTACAGAGCAAACCTTCTCAATCTTGAAGGTATGGCCTTTGACCTTACTACACGAAAGGAAGACAACTTCTGGAGAGTAGGAAAAATACTGGCATTGCTTCCTTCTGTCCGTGTAAAAATCAGGATGTCTTCAATGAAGTTGTTGTATGAGGCTCCACTTCCTACTTTCATCAAAGAGTATGGATCTGAAAGTCCAATTGATTGATCTAAAAGTCCAATCAGTCTGAAATGGAAAAAAATTTCTCCCTGCTCCTGCAAAAGAAGGTGTTGGGAGAGTCCTGTGAATGTAAAGGAGCTGGGGGAGCACAAATTTATTCGTGGGGAAATCCAAAAGAAAGATATAATCCAATCTGATTAATATGGTATTAAGGAAGGTGCAAACTTGGTTAGCCAAAGTCTCATGTGAATACTTAATACAAATTTCCAGGATTTTTAGTCTTAAGCTTCAATGTCTAATCACTTGTGTTACTAGGATATAGTTTTCTTATTATAAGTATACTTTTTTTTTAATTGATCTTCCTGCGAAGCTGCAGAGTGGATGTCCTGAAATGTATTTTGAGGCTGCAGTGACACTTACACATGAATAAAGCTCTTTAGTTACTTCCTTTCAGGTAAATTTACTGCCTGATAATTTTTTCCTTGCAAACATTGGGTTTGTCTCCTCTGTTATGTGTAATTTCATTCCAGAGAGAGTGCTTGCAGGTGTTGTGTATTAGCAGTTTCATCTTAAGAACATTTCAAAAAAGCTTATCCTGAAAATGTGTATTTTCTAAATTCCTATTTATGTCTCTGATTTTTAATGGAAGATGAAACAAAACACTAAGTTTGATGTAAGTGAACGTCCTTCACAGCCATAAACTGTGTAGCTATCCAGGTACAGATTTTTACTGTTTTCAGGAACTGCAGCGGTCAGAGGTGCTGTTCATGCAGTTTATTCTGAAACAGGGATGAGATACTATCTTTAAAGATAACTTCTTACCCAGTTTTCATAATTTGTTTTGCTGTGGAAATGAAATCTGCTCTATTTCCATGCATGCCCCCTGTCCCCCAAGAAGGAACTTTGAATCATGCCAATTACATGTTTTCCTTTTTGTAGTTCCCAGATCATGAGTCCTATTCCACCTGTTGCATCACCACCTCTTACTTCTAAGACAAAGGAGCTTCCAGACAGTGAAAACCTTGATGTAAGTCAGTTGCTTTACTATGTGTTGTTGATACTTGAGGCCTTTTAGTGACCTGGTACTGTTTTTAGGTTTTGTTTGTGAATATTTGAATCTTTCTACTGTATTTTGCTGAATACTTAAAGTGCTTAAAGAATATAAATGCAAACTAAATTCTAGGAAAAGAGCAATAGCTTAAATGAATTTTTTGACAGGCCATGTATTTATGTACATGGTCACACTATCCAAAATTGAGGAACTGGGCATTGAATTCTTCATAAAATTAAAGTGCTTTCCTTTAAAGGAGAAAATTACTGTAAAGGTTATCACATGCTGATTAGGTGCTGACAATTGCATGTGTCCGAGGTGTTTTAAAGCAGATTTTTTTAGTGGAAAACAGTTATCCAAATGTTTTCATCTCTGCAGCCTGTTCTTTCTGTAGGCAAACTCTTTGGAGTGGGTGTAATCTTTTCGGACCTAAGTGAGACACTGCGTTGATTTACATCTGCCAAAGAGTATAGTAAATTTATACTACAAGTAGAAAAGTAAGAAAAACAGAACTGGAGGGAGGGGAAGATACAAGGAAAAGACTGTTTGAAGGAATCTGGTTTTAATGTGATATGCAGTTAATTGGCCTTTGAACTCAAGATCCATTCCAAGTTGCAAATCTTTTTTTTTTGGGTCTTAGCATTTCATAGAAAATAAGCCTCAAACTGAGCATATCAGTAAGATACACAGATTTCTTACTAGCTGGAATATTAAACCTTGAAAAAAAAGAACTAAATACTTTACTCTACAAATTTGTTAAAATGATTATGTAAAACATCTTAATGATTTTCAGATCTTCTGGATGCAAAACAGGGTAGCAAATCCCATTTGAGGTTGAATCTTAAGCAAGGGATAATTGCATAGGAGAATGGTCTAGGATATTATAAATAGAAACTTAACGTTGAAGAGTTATTATTGGAGAGCATCATGTACTTCTGACGTGTTGGTAAATATATTACTGTAGTAACAGGCCTATGTTTTTACTTCTGGTGTTGTTGCTGGAATTTGTTTGGAGTAATATTAAAACTAGTATGATTTAAATATTAGGTTGGATTGGATTCAGCTTTTAGAAGCGAATGTATCTCTCAAAACTCCCCGCAGTTATTTGTGTTTTTTCCTTAACTTCATCTCTCTCCCATGGGCTCAGACTTCTTTATAACTTAATTTTGCTTTCTTAAATCCTTTCCAGCAAGACCTTTGCACTTTCTTGATATCACGAGCATGCAAAAATTCCACGTTGGCAAATTACTTATACTGGTATGTTCTAAACTGTTTATTCGTACTGTATCAATGTCTAATTGAAATCAAAGCTACAATGCCCAGAGGGTTGCATAGCAAAAGATGACCTGTCTTGAGAACTTGAGAATCTCGGTTTCTGTCTGGATGAAGTAGTAGATTTAAAACAATGTGCATTTGAACAGAAGAATTAGTGAAAGGAGGGTGCTGGTTTTTAAAATTCATAAACATGCTTTACTGTTAGAAAAAGGGAGGTGACTTGTAGGGTGTTAATTTCGGTGATTAGGGGGGAAAAAAAAAAGAAAGCCTAACCATAGTTTATAAGTTATCATTCAATTTCTTTATAATGGTGGGAAGAAGATAAAGTTCATCATCTGCTCTGTTTTTTCTGTTTGGTTTGTGTTTATATTTTTTTACAGTATTGGCTAGAATATTAAGATTATGCACTTTGGTATTAATCAAGAGTGTACTTTATGAAGGTTTGTAAAGCACTAATTTTTTTGTGCTACCCTAATTATTTTTTAGATTCTATTTATGCTTATGCTGTGAACACAAACAAAATGTCATTGTAAATATGTGCTTTCTTAAGGGGAAGTTTAGTTATGAATAGTTCATCTAGGTATTGGAGAGGTAAGATTACTCAACTAAGGATGGTTTAAGAATTAAACTAGATGCCTGAACTATCTGCGTCCCTTCTAAGTGAGCATTTGCCAACAGAATGATCTCATTTGAAGAAAGTTGAGGTGAATAGATCTGAACTCTGTGGAAGTGTTTGTGTATGTATCAATGTATATACGTGTATGCATACACACAGCACATACAGCTATTTACTTGTTTGTACACATGTATTTTAAAATAGAGAGCGTAGATGCCTTTTACATGGCTAAACATAAGTCAAATGATTCTCATTTGTATCTTCTGCAGATGTAACTAATAATTAAAAATACTAATACACATATGTTAATATGCTATGAATATTAACCACAGATAAGCCATGAATTAGGAACAGCGTGATATGTGACATAAACATACTAAACTGTTATAAAAAAATTCTCACAGGAATCCTAACCTACCCTGAGAGTGACTCCATTTGTAATTGTCTCTCTTAAAGTTTTATTATTTCATTGTTTTCCAATAGCTTAAATTTAAAATACATAAGTGCATGATTTAACTACAGTTCCTTAGTGTACATATTGCTATTGCAGTGGCCAAAGATAACGTTTGGCTTCAGAAAGAAGTGCTATTAAATTTAAATGATTAAAATAATTGCAGCCTGAATTAGAAGCCAAATGCTTGACCTAATCAAATATTCTTCATTAAGGTAAGTGTTAGTAGCTTAGCTTATTTGTATCACCTTGATAGAAACTGCAAACTTACATTTTGGCAACATCTCAGACTTTTAGTCTAAAAAAAGTTCAACGCATCCAGAACACTGAAGTTTTTGTCTTATGACTGGGGCAGGGGAGGAACCAAAACAAAACAAAAAACCAACGAAGACCACAGCCAACACCAAAAACCCCAGTCAATTTATTCTTTGTTTTCTTTCCAGACATCTCAATTTCTCAGTGACAAAATACAAATGTTGCAGCCACTGTTTGAGCTGATGTAGCCATAAATCCTCTTGGCTGCTGATCAATTGCTCGTTTCAACTACCCAGACACAGCATGCGCCTAAAATAATCAATGGAAAAAGTACAACAACCCTTGAAAATCAAACCTCCTGCTCATTCACTTGTCATTGTAAAGCTGTCCTCTCCTTACATTTTAACAGTACCTACAGAAGTCAATGATGCTGCTTTTTTTCTGTCTCTTCTTCAGATATATGAGACACCTATCCAAGGATGAAGCATTACTCTTACTCCTTGTTTCAAGATAGCTTTAAGAAACTGTCTAGGGTTTTTTAACAAATTAAGATGAAAATGGCATGTTTCAATTAATTATTTCCTGTTTTTCTAGAAGTTTTGTTGCACTGACTTTGTGTATATGAAATTATTTTTATACATATATTACTTCACTGTAATTTTGACATTTTAGTGAGGGAACAGTGTAGAACCATGTATTAGCACTGTTCTAGAATAGTCTCTAGTGGCAGATTTCGTTGAGATAATACTGATGGAAAAAGTTATATATGCCTTATTTTAAATTATATAGTATATTGTGTATTTATAAAAAAGACTAGACAAATCTGATCATCTACAAATGACAGACCTCTAATCTTTGCCATAATCATCGAGTTGCAAAGAAATTCTGCATAAGTGCTTAGGGAAAGGGTAATTATAGCTGTCAGCATGAAGTCAAGGTGTGTTTGTTGAATGTGTAGAATCAATTTGAATCCAAATACAGTGCTTGATAATCAACTGACTTGCTAATTTCTTCCTTTTTTTTAATAATGGGGTTATATGCTTTTAGAGGGTAGTACTAAGAGACATATTGATCAACAGAAAGACGATCTTCTGTGCATAGCTACTTTTTTGCTTGTCAGTGCTGTGAATAGAAATAAGCATGAAAGCTTTCCAAACAATGGCTTAACATACCATACTTATTTTGGAATGTAGACTTTACAGAGCTGCTTCCATACAGTCTATTCCACCGTTGCTAATGCTAAAATGCGGAATGGGTAGGGTGAGATTCTTCTTATTTTTGCAGGTATACTGAATAGCAAGTTTGCAGACACTAAATTATGTAGAGGGTGGTAGTACAGTGGAATGCTCACTCCTCCCCTGCGTACTGCTTGGTTGGCGTGTTCATATGACTTGGACTTCTAACTTGTCCTTTTGAGTGATGCAACTTCGCTGTAAGTGAAAGACCTCAGAAATTTCGATAGGGCCTCGTGATCCAAGAGGGTATTTGACTAAGCAATTTTGAAGAGTTCACCTGTTGGTAGATACTTCATTCAAAGATGAACCTAATTTTTAGTTCCAAGCCTATAATACAAGGCTGCTGTATTTCATTCAAATTGTGTAGCACCAGAGTACAGCATAACTTGGGTTGTTTTTATACTGCAGGTATGTAATAGTGGAGTGTGAAGACCAAGATACTCAGCAGAGGGACCCAAAGACTCACGAAATGTACTTAAATGTGATGAGAAGATTTAGTCAAGCTTTGCTGAAGGTAATGCCTTTATGTAAGAAAATACATAGTGTTTAGCGATAGTCATTCTTTTAAAAGGCACAGATATCTAGAAGGAGGACAATTTCTCATGTCATATGATTGAAGTTTTAAAAAAAGCTTCCACTTCTGCTTGCATTATGAGTTTGTGGTAAATCAAAGAAACAACTTGTGGTGGTTTGGGTGGATTCACCCTTTTGCTTGCAGCCAAACACAGCCTGCTCTATCACCCTCCCGCCCCCGCCTCACCCAGGGAGCAGGGGAGAGAATTTGGAAAGAAGGGCAAAGACTCACGGGTTGAGATAAAAACTATTTACTAATTAAAAGAAAATGATAATGATAACAACAATAATAACAGACTATACAAATGAGTGATATACAGTGCTCACCGCCCACTGACCGATGCCCGGCCTGTGCCAGCTAACGATCCCGGAGCTGAGACGGTCCCGAACCGAAACCCCGGAAGAGTGAGCCTGAGCGATCCCCGAGAGAAGTGCCCCGTCTTCCGGTCATCCCTGGTTAATATACTGGCATGACGTGATATGATATGGAATATTTCATTGGCACATCCAGATGCCAGTTTTGGGTTTTGCTCCTCACTGCGCTTCCCCCCTCCCAGTCCTAATGCAGCTGTGAAGGAGCAAAAAACACGGTGGCCTTGAGCTGCAGCAACACAAGTATTGTTATCAAAGTTCTTCTCGTGATATGTCTGAACTGAAACACTGAAAGTAAAATACTGCTATTCTAATTACTAAAAAGAAAATTAACTCTATCCTAGCAAAACCAGGACACAACTGAAAAAGAAAAAAATAAACAAACAAGTATTTAGAACTTTTCCCTCTGTTTTATTGCTTGTTCCTGTTAGTAACATGCTTGTTCTAAAGTTCTTCTCACTTGTGTAATTGATGTATTTTATTTACTTTTCCTTTATTGGAGGCACTTGTCCTTGCAGTGCAAATTGGGACAAGAGACCTGTATTTTGAATTCACAGTGTTGTTCTGTGTATCAGCAACAAAGGGTGCTGGAGCAGCGGGGGGAAAAAAAAAACAAAAACAAAGAAAAAACCTTTTGTGATTTACAATGTGTAATTTATAGCGGATGTGCAGTCTTTCCTGATTTTAGTGTATCTCACTTTTCTTATTAATTCCCGTTTTAGGAATGTTACTCTCATCTGACTCTTACGCTTTGTAAGCATATTCCTTGTGGTTATCTTTACTAACTTACATTGACTGTGTGAATAAGTTTGTCATGCGTGTCTATTCACCAGTGAAATTTGTTGATGCAAATTGAAGTACACTGGTAGGTCAGATAATTGATCGCCAGCTCCAGTGATTCTGATTGCGTTTTACAGAAAATACCTTTTGAATTGACAGAAAGTTGATCATTATTCTTTACCTCTTAAAACTCCAAAGGTCGAAGAGTAAAGGATTAATTTCTAGATAAAATTATTACAGAACAAAGAACTAATTTTGTTTCTTTCAATTCACTTAGGGTGATAAGTCTGTCAGAGTTATGCGTTCGTTGTTGGCAGCCCAGCAGACATTTGTAGATCGGCTGGTTCATGTAATGAAAGCAGTGCAGCGTGAAAGTGGAAATCGTAAGAAAAAGGTAACTAAAGGATTAGAAAACTTATCTCTGGCTAGAATTGACAGTAAGAATGTTAGCTTTTCACTAAAAATTCTTAGCACGGAGATTTATAACAGATGTCCAATTGTCCTGTAATAATTTTAACTAACTTTGAACAAACTTAGGAGGTGTTTAGATGGATCAGAATTCTGAAAGGCTGCAGGTGAAAAACAGAAGAGGCTTTTGAGAAAAATCTTAAGATATTTTGGCTAAGGGAAGATAGGAGAAGAATTGAATAGTTAATGATATAACAGCAAATAACAGTGGGGGACATGGGAAGGTAGCAGAGGTTATTGTGATGTCAGAATTATGCCAGCACACATAATGAAATTTGACTAGCAGCAAAGTGTCATTTATTCCAGGAGCAACAAAATTATGATATTACAGGATATGTGTTTAGCAGAACTTTGCCTTCTGTTGCATTTTGAGGAAAAGGATTTCCATCATAGGTGCATTTTAAGAAGCTTTGCCCTTCTTAGATGAAATATTTTAAGTCAACTTGACAGACAGGTATAGGGAGGAAGCAGAAATCCCAAAGGGATTTCTATTCATGTGTCCCTGCTGATGGCAGGGGGGTTGGAACTAGATGATCTTTAAGGTCCCTTCCAATCCAAACCATTCTATGATTCTGTGATTTCATTTTCCTGTGACACATATAAGTATTTTTAAACATGAATTTTTCAGTATTATGACTTTTGTCACCTTCTTTCTTTAAATAAGTGGGGTATATTTGTGCAGGAAAATGGAACACTTTGGCGTTGCATCATTTTATGAAATTTTGTGAGTGTTCTCTGCATAAGTAATAAAGGTGTAGTCACTTAAAAAGGAGGAGAGGTTTTCAGTTCCTAAGAATGTATTACCTACTTGTGCAATACATGGGTAGCATTCTGTCCTATATTCCTTTATAATTGCCGGGATATTTCTGTAAAACTAAGAAACACATGGGTTTGATTTTTGGATTAAAATCTATCTAGCAGCAATTAACCACTAGAAGTATTTGCACAGTAGTGGGCTATCTTGCTGTATATTTATGCCTGTTATATTCAGTAGAGGAAAAGACTAGAGACTTTATGTATTTGACCTTTCTTCTGTAGGATGTCAAGTGTAAAGTACGCGAAAATTGGCTGGTATTGTTTTTCTAGTAACTACAGATGTAGGAATGTAGAGCCAGCCCTGAAATCAGATCTATGCAAGCTGTTTGCAATTTGTTTTCACTGGGTGGGGGTTCTCCTTGAGTTCAGGTATTTAAAAGATCGGAGCTAAAGACTTGAATCAAGTTTCTGAAACAGAACTAACATTTGATACTGATACTGAAAACGAATCATCCTGCTACTTGTGCAGGCAATTTAGAAATACATTTTTGTAAGGTTATTATATCTGGAACTTAGAAAATTGTTTGACTGTTCTCAGACTAGGCAGAATAGCTGCTTCCTGATTCAGGTTACTGTGAATAGAGAATTTTTATTTTGCTAGATTTTAAGAGTGAAACCTTGATTCTTTGGAAGTGTAAAGAATTGACTAAATTCGATATTTATATTTATTAATAATACAGCCTTTGTTAAAAGACTTTTTAACTGTTCATGTATACCTAATATGTGTTTTATGGTGTTTTTTTAAAAAAAAAAAAAAAAAAAACAACACATTTTTATTCTTTTAGAATGAGAGACTTCAGGCGTTGTTAGCAGATAACGAAAAGATGAATTTAGCAGATATGGAACTTATTCCACTTCCTCTGGAACCTCAGGTGAAAATTAAAGGGATAATCCCTGAAAAAGCCACACTCTTCAAGGTAAATGAGATCTTCTGAATACCTGAAATACAAACAGATCTTATGAGCACTAAGCTTAGAAACAACAGTTGGAAGATTTAAAGGGACTGACATAGTCAAAGTAAAATATAACTGTAATTAGCTCTTAAAGTGGTTAAAAAACTTCTTGTGAAACTCTTTTTTCAAGTTAATGTGCAAACTTTAAAGCAACTTTTATAACTGATACAGTTTATAAAGTTTATGAAGTACCAAAGCTGAAGAGAGCTTCCTAGTTCAGAATATCTCTGAACTTTATTTTGACTAAAGTGTTCAACAGGAATACCACTTTTGATCAAAATTGTACAGATCAAGTCAGATGTGCTTCATCTCAGCTAGCTGTATGCTTCTATTCCGTTGCAAAATAAAACTGTAATTGCTAGAGGCTGGAAAGTAGTAAGGTGTTCCATTTCACACAGTTGAAGTGGGCTGACCGGTAGATCCTGTATCCCTATGGGTGCTGAGTCCTTAAAACAATCTGGAGCAATTGCTTGTGATCATATAGCCAGTCTTTAATCTAGTTAATAAACAGTCAATATGCTGTTGAAAGGGCTGAGGTTGCTTCCTATACTACTTGGAATTGAAGTTTGAAGTTGTTACCTGTGTCCAGTGATGTAGAACCTCTTTACAAATTTACTTTCAAGTCATATAGGTGACTGTAATCCAATTTTAATGTGACCAGGAGGTGCTTTACTAGTCAGGCTTATGTCCAGGAGGCATTCTCTACCAGTTAAAAAACGTACAAGCTGCTGTGGCAACCATTGTTAGCCCGTCATTTCTACTAGGTCATAAATTTATTATGCCCAGTAGTTTCAGACTTTGACAGGCTGCTTGTTGACTGCGATATATTTTCCGTTTACTTGAAATAAGAGATGAATATTTTTGCATAGTTTTCTGCCATACCATCTCTTGGTATTTTTTTTGGCTTGCTTCTTTATCTAGCAGGTAGTCTCTTTGAAGAGTACTCTTCTTCAATTCCATGCTCATGCACCTCAAGTTGGAAGCAACATAGGAACGGTCTTCTCATAAATACAGGGTTTTGCAAACTTGAATCAGCCTTTAGCATGAATGTGATTTAAGGGTCATGGGAGGAGTGCTGACAAAAAGACTACTGGAAGAGCAGCTAAATGCTTCCTAAAAAGAGTGATAGCTTAACTTGATCAGGACAAACTCAAATCGGATCTTCTGTAGCACTGTAAAAAATTTAGGACCAAAATATGTTGAGAATTTTTTTTTCAAAATCAGAGGTGGTTTTGATCCTCTTTATTCTGAAGGTTACAGATTTTCATTTAATCTCTGATTCTGTACAATGGGATAAAACACAAACAAACCCAAAGAAAGAAGAATTAACTCATTTTTGGTGCTCTTGGACATCATGTGGCAGCTTTTGTAGGACTATTTAAAGAATATTTTTTCCCTTATTTATGGAACTTAATAATTTTTAAACATTCATTGCAAGTGAAAATCTAATGTAACTGTTCAAATATTAAACTGTATCTTTGTTTTGGTTTTGAGGGAAGTTGTTCAGTGTTAAAATAGGTGAAATAATTCATGTAGGTAATCGATCCACTTCAACCATTTTTATGTAGAGAAATTGAAAACAATTAAATTGGCTTTCTCAAACAACAATATTAGAAGGCATTTTTGCTTTTACTAAATAGATTAAGAAAGTAATTAATTGTTTAAGATGTCTTACCCCTGGCATTTCTTTGATGTTTATCCTATAATTGTGTCTCTTTTTGATCTGGTCAATTTAAATTTGTTTTGTTGTGATCTTTTGCATAGTGCTTCTGTGTTGATTTGAATCACGTGCATGCAAACAAAATTTGAGTCCAGCTGTCCTTTCCTGTTCATGTGCTGGAGCTGGGGTGGGGAAATATAGCTTTCACACTTCTTGCTAAAAAAGAAAGCAAGCCTTAAGGTATTTTTAAAAAAACATGCCTAGATCACAGTTCTAGTAACTGGAAATGGTGTGTTCTAACTGAGTCTCAGACAGCGAGCAACTGCTTTTAGAAATTTTAGAAATGCTTCTTTTCTATCAAACTTAAGGATCATGAAGAGAGCTCTGGTGCTTACTGCCACATTGTTGGTATTCAAATAGGGCTATTCTAAACCTTTTTCTAACTGAATTTGATACTTGAATCATATGACCCTGATACTTGCTTAATTAACTTCTGATCTACAGTGCAGTAAACAAAGATTTATAATTTAGAGCTCCACTGTAGCAACATGTTAACATGAACATTGCTCTGAACCTGCTTAGTAGAATAAGTTTTCTTTTCCAGAGTGCCTTAATGCCTGCTCAGTTATTCTTCAAGACAGAAGATGGAGGCAAATATCCTGTAATTTTTAAGCATGGAGATGATTTACGTCAAGATCAACTTATTCTTCAGATTATTTCACTCATGGATAAGGTGGGAATTACTAATCCACATCCTTGTCCTTCTGTGTTTTGTTTTTCCTGGTTGAGAGCAAGGCTGTTAGAAACTGTTAATGCAACTTAAGTCGCTGATATACATTCCAAGGTTCTCAGATATTGGGTGGCTTTTTTCTTTTCTTTATAGACATGCAGTGATCCTGTATAGATTTAAATAAATAAATAAATAGGCAAACAGACTTTCACTCATTACGAATTTCAGTGAAAGACAGTGGAGATCAATGTCCAATACATATTCCTTTTAGAAACAGAAGCCGCCTTTCTGTTGCATTCATCTTTGCTTTTATGTGGTTGTTTTTGGGTTTGTTTGTTTGTTTTCCAGCTGTTAAGAAAAGAGAATCTGGATTTGAAGCTGACACCCTATAAAGTGCTGGCAACTAGTACAAAACATGGTATGAATACTTTCATTTCTAATTAAAATACTCTACTGGGAGGAATTTTCTCCCTCTACTCATGAACTGTTGTGACACTGTTTTCATGAGTAGTACAGCATTCTAAAAAGGAGTGTAAAATGTGTAAGAAAATATTGTTGCAATGCAAGTCATGGAAGTAAACCACTGGAGTGACTACAGTATTGCACAGGGGACTCGGATATTTTCATAAATGAAGCCTGATCTGCGTTTTGGAGCATGACAGTAGTGTTATTTTTGCTACTAGCTTGCTGTGTGATCTTGGGCAAATAATTTTTATCACTCTGATTTATAGATCTTTGCATGAAGTGGAGGAAAAAAACAAGGCAAAACAAAGTCAAACTTAGCTACACTTTTAGATACATTCTGGATAAATATTTTAAAAGCATTGATTTATCTTTCTCTACTCCTGAAAACTTGGAACAGCAGACCTTTGGCAAGCTAATTTTGAGTTAATGACTAGTTGTTTGAAAATGACTGAAGGCAGAAAATGGGCATGAAACGTGATTTTTTTTTGCCAATAAGAATCAGTTAAATGAAAGTGTGTCTTAGTGTTGCCCTTTAATAAAACTGTGGTATAGAGGAGCTTGAAAGTTAACATGCATTGGATGTTGGTTTGTTTGTTTGTTTGTTTTTTGTTTGTTTTTCTGTCACAGGCTTCATGCAGTTTATTCAGTCAGTACCAGTTGCAGAAGTTCTTGCTACTGAGGAAAGTATACAGGTACGTGATGGGGGATTTTTAAGTTGTCTTCTAATTAAACAATATAAATTGCAGGCTTAGATCTCATACAAAAGTCCTTAGTCTCTCAAGTTTTTTTTATATCTATTGTTAGAACACAAATTACAACTTGAAACATAAAGGTATTTACAGCTGACATTTTGATTTAAAAAAAATATACTTAAATCACCACATGAGTGCCTCATATCCTAAAAGTAATACTGTTTGAATAATTAAAGTGTAATTTAGTTGTCATGCTGAAGTTCTGGCTTTGCTATAATGACGAATGGAAGATGTATGACACTTTTATGGACTGTTTTGTTTGAAAGTGTTTCTGTCATTAGGTAGTTTTGGCTTGATACTTTGTCAAAGTATGTTTTATTTTTTTTAATTTTATTTTCTTAATATTTATTTTTTGGATGGAACAGCTAAATAGTTGCTCCATATAATTTCTGAAGTTTCCCTGCAGTGGTGGATGTACAGATACTGTTATGATTTTTTGTTTGTTTGTTTTATTTTTACTTAGCAAGCTTTCTGTAATTGTGTGGAATTGAGTAGGGACACATAATAGAATAGTGACACACAAAATTCATGCTAGTTCCAAGCACAGCACACAAGCCAGGTAAAAGAGCTGAGCTGGTTGAGATAAATATAATTAGATAAAAACATACCAAATTGCCATATCAGATATGTAGCTAATAAGGTTTTTAATGAAAACACAGTATGTTTATGTTGGATTCAATTTGTCACAGTACCTTTTTTCCCCTTTTTTTGTAGTTGATACTGAAGTTTGCATTTGTTCTTAGCTCAGTAACTGGGAGCCAAAGCAAATAGCTCCCAGCTATTAGAAACTACTTATATTAAAAATACAGAAATTAAAAAATGCATATCATTTGTCATTATTATTTGCTTAACAGATAAGCATATCAAATGCTTATTATTTATAAAAAATGGTTATCATTAATCAGACAATGACCATCATCAAGTTGCTTAAGTTTTTTGAACTTTCTGTTCCATAAATATTGTGATAAGCTAGATGTACACATTCAGTAATCATACAGTTTATAAAGTGTTTTCTTGGCAATCCTTTGTAATCTTGGAAAGGTAGTATTTGTATTCTAGTCCATTATATGTCTTTATAAAACAATATATTTAGAAATGCTTGCGAAGTTGAAATTTTGCAATTATTATCATATTCCAATCTAAAATAGGTGCTCTGTTGATTTAGTCACTGTGCAGACGTAAGGAGCAATTCTTCCTTTGAAGACTTACTGATCTTAAGTAGACAAGATGCCAAAATAATGTGATCTAAGACTACTTCACAGATCAATGGCAAAATACATTATAGAGCACAGACTTCCAGTGCTCTGAAGCATAATAAAATATCTGAGCGTTGTAGACCTAGGAAATAAAACCAAGGTGAACACTTTTAGGTGTTATGAAAGTTTGTTTTACCCTTTTTGTAAATGTACATTTAGGGAGTCATTTAATGAAGATGAGCACTGTATCTTCTAAGGATTAAAAAGCAAGTAATCTTATATTGGCTAGTAGTGCAGACCTGCAAGAAGGAAAAGTTGTTTTGGTGTTTGAATGTTACTTACCTTCTATCAACAATCTTGAAATTACAGTTCATGTTTTGGAGGTATTTCTCTTCTGCTCTCCACAGTTTAGCATTTGAGTTGTCTGAAGTATGGTTTGGTTTGGTTTGGTTTTTGTTTGCTTTTTTGTTTATTTACATACAGCATGTAAAATTTGGTAGCACTGGAAGTAGATCTCTAGTAAAAATCTCCTTCCAGATTTTGCTTAGGGATTTCATTTAACAGAATCTTTCTACTCTCAGAAGGGCTTGTTCCTCTGTAAGCAAAGATAATTAGTGCTTTCTGCAGTCCTTGATAAACTCTGGTATGTTTTATGACAGGACTGCTTTTCAAAACTTTCTTAAATAGCCTGCAGATACTTTCCTTCAGTACCTCCTTCTCTTGTGTAAGATTCCCTTCATTTTTTCATTAGGATTTTAGTCATGTCATGTCAGTAGTGGTTAATTGTATTGAGGAATACGGATATGCATATCCAGTGTGTGTCCCCAATGTAGTTACAAATCTGAACTGTTAGTCCTGTTCTACTTTTTGCTGATCTGGCTTAAACAGTTTCCTGTAGAAGTATTTTGCATTCATAATTATTAATTAATAGCTTTTAAATGCATCGTTAATTTTCTGAAGCTGTTAGTAAAACTAGCTGCTTTTCAGTTTGAACTTCACATCCGTTTCTATTGAGTACAAGAATATGGATATTAAGACAAAAGATAGTCATACAAAGTTAAATTAGATCTTACTAGATTTTTTAGGAGTGATTTTTAGTTTAGCAGATTGTAATAATGGGCATTTGTCGTCTTGATTTAATTTTTTTTTTTGCTACCAGTTCTAAAGATCCTGTTCCAGATCATATGTAGTAACTAAATTTGTTGGTGACTTCCCCTCCAGAACTTCTTCAGAAAACATGCACCTAGTGAGACTGGCCCTCATGGAATAAGTGCAGAAGTGATGGACACATACGTTAAGAGCTGTGGTAAGTTACAGTCTTAGGGTTCATAACTTCATATCTGGTATAAAGGACAGGGTAGATGAGGTATTAAGACATTCCAGTTTAGATGACTGCAGACAGGGCACTGTGCATGTACTTGCTGTCAGAATCCCGGTGAAAAGAATAGTTTTGAGCCTGGTATGTCATGCACAATTCCTCTTCTCAGCCCTTTTATGTTTTTTTCTCCTAAAAGGAGACTAGAAGATAAATACTCTGCTTTCTAGCAATGGTCTTACTTCTCCGCCCTCTGCATCATCAGTTGGGGTCTTTATTATTCAGGCAGATGTGAAGTATTTATACAATAATAAACTGTCTGTATTTGAGGTAAAAAATGTTAATGTGTTTTTAGAACATCAGGGGATAGTTTTGGGATAAGGCTGTATGCACCTTCTTGTTCCGTTTGGATGAGAAGAAAAAGTGGTAGTGTAGTTCTTGATCAGTAAACTGGTGGCAGTGTTAAAATGTCACAATTGCTGTCCATTAAATTAAAAGCAACTTTATTCTACAAAAAAACCCAAACCAAACCAAACCAAAAGAAATTCAGTTTCATTCAGCTGTTGCTCCACAGTATCTTCTCCTTTCCTCTTTTCTTTCTGATGGCACAGTCTTTAGTACTGCTTCAGACTGTTCTGATTAGTGGGTGAAAATTAAGAAGAATTAAAACAGTTTGCATTAGCTGTAATTTATTTTTTACTGCCTGGCTTGCTGCTTAGCTTGGGAATGCTACTGACGCATACACTCAGATTTATATCAATGCCTAATGCTTGTTTACAGTTGTATTAAAATGTCTTAAGTTCAAAATGTACATTTGTTTGCTCAAATATTCCCACTTCCTTTGAAGTTTTGTAGTCCCAATTTTGAATGAATGTAGGCTTTTAGCACTAGACATAAAAATGTGTAGAAAGAAATTAAAATCTAGGCAATACTGAATAAAATTCAGAGTTTTAATTTATTACTTCAAACGTTCTTTGTAGTGCTGATAATCTTGATTATTCTTCACCAGCACTGCCCCTGCCCCCAGTCTCTGAGGTATATTTATTACTTGTGAATGAGAACTAAGATAATGTCATATTCGGTTGTTAATTGTGTGGAACTTGTTGCTCTCCAGGAAAGGTACTTGTATTGATGTGTACAATTTATTTGTTACAGCTGGTTATTGTGTAATTACTTACATCCTTGGAGTTGGCGATAGACATCTGGATAATCTTTTGCTAACAAAAACAGGTAATTCTTTTTAGCAGTACAGTTTTATAACAGCAGTTGTTTAATTTGTAATGTGTTAGTACTGTTTTGCTTCATCTTCCTTTCGAGTATAACACACTGAGAATTGTAGATTATGTATGTATTTAAATGTAAAGTTATTGTCTCCTCCAAGGTAATATTTGATCCAGTGAATCACAGTTTAGGTTTAAACTATTAGGAGTGTGAAATGTCAGTTGAAGAGTAAGAAAACAAGTAGACTAATTGCAGTGTAAACACATTAGTAGGCAATATATGGTATAATGTGTATGGATTAATATTAGACCAGGTAGAGTGAATAGTTCTAAGGATTCTACATAAATAGGAGATTTATCTACTAGAAGAAATGAAAAATTTGAAAATGAAGTTACTTCAACTATTACAGTCAGTGCCTTGGAGTGGGGAGAAATTGAAGTGTTTTTGTAGAAAACGAGTTCATGTGTAGCTGCATGAACTTCACAAAGTTTTAACAAACAAAAACATTTCTTGTAGGGGGAAAGTAGTTCTGATGCCTTGAATACCGTAATTACATAGTGATTAAGAGTTAGGAGTTGTGATTAAGTATTTATAATAAAACAAAACATCTATTAAACGAGAAACATGTAGATAAATGTTATTTGGGGAAAAGAGACATATCCACATGGAAGGCTTGTTAGTTTACAGGTATTACAGTATTACTTTGAATCAGCATTCTCTGTATGAAAGAGTAGAAAATGAACCATTAGGCCTTGATTAGGGTAAAAGGTGTTGCTCTAAGCACATGGGGGAACAAGTAAAGCACTTATATTTTTCCTTATCTGCTTGCAAATTAACAAATAGGCATTTAAAAGCCTGTTCTGAGAGGTCTCTATCATTTCTCTAAGGTGACTGGTTTAATTTTTTTTCCGTAGCAGGCACTGCTTATGTGCTCAGAGTAGTAATATTTTAGTGTTGTGATTTGGGGTAAAGTGCAGGTTACCTGTTGATGTTAAAAAGTAGTGTCACAATGGCTGTTTGTGTTGGTGGAAGAATTTAAGCAGTACAGCAGAGGGCAGCCCGCATCCATGGTACCCTCTGAGTCTGAAGTTGTTTTCATCTGCTACCTATGCTCTGTCATGTACTGAGAGAGTTTTTTTGAGCTATCAAGATAAATTCTTACGCTCCAAATACAACAAAGGCTTGCTACAAAGTCTTGTTTCTTGCTATTGAGAATCCCTTAGACTTAAGTTAAAAAGAGCTAACTTCATTTTTCTGTTGAAGAATGGGAGCTGTAAGTACTTTTCTTCAAAATTGTATGGCCATGTGTGCATCCTTTCTTGACAGTATTTATTTAATGAATTGAAGCTTTCCACTAGAGTAAAGAATGCTGAGCACCAGCTGTGAGTTTGCATACTTTTCTTGGTTTTATACGACAATGTATATTGTTATCTTTTTCAGCTCTACCTTTTAGTTTAGTGGATATAGCAACATCTGTTGGACTCCTTCAGACAGAATTGTTGCATGATCTTCTAGCATCCAGACATTTATGCTTGTAATAGATATGGTATAATTTAAATATTAAGCAATAGATACTGAAGTTCATAAAAACCAAATTGTTTCTCACTCAGTATGAGAAATGTATTTTTCTGTGCTGTAGGATGAAAATGTCTGTTATCTGAGTGAAATAATTTCTGCTGTCTTTCATTACTTTTATGCCTATAATTCTAGAAATAGGGTGAATTTTTTTTAAGTAGTCTTAAACAAGGAATCTAGTTTTTCAGATTTTTAAACGCTGTACCATTATACTTCAAGGGGAGCTGCAGAAGTTTGTTTGGAAAGAGATATAGGGACACTTCAGTCAAAACTTCCTCATGTATCAGTGATGTTAAAAATTACAAGAATAATTGTATCAAATTTACAAGTGTGCCTTAGCTTGTAACCTAAATGTTGCATTATATAGTCAGTATTGCATTACAGGAATATTTATTTTCTCTGAGAACTTTCAACTTCCTACTTCTCTTGGAGATGAAATATGTTATCAGTTGCTGTATGTTTTAATTCCTTGTTTCCATGTCTATAACAGCAGATCCTTTTAAATAATAAGACACTTTTTTGCAGCTGAATCCTGAACTTTAAGTAACATTAGTGTCTTGTTGTAGGATCACAGACTGATTTATATATTAATACCAGTGTCTGATTTACCACCTAACGTTCCCTTTGTTGCCTTGGAAGGAAGAGCTGAATGGTTGTGAAGGTGGATTGTGATAACAAGATGTAGCATGTTCAGTTAATTTCCATGTAGTATGTGTTGTGTTAGTATGTTACAATTACATCATGCCTTCCCTTGAAAATCCTTTCTTCTGTATTTGTTCCACACTCTGTTTTTGGTTGTAGAGTTGGGATCTAGCTATGATGTAACACCCAGATATGGATGTCTTTGCGTTGGCGAAGCCCTTTAAACTCTTACAACATTAGAGTTTAGATAGTGTTTCAGCTATGATAGACAAGTAAAGTCTCCTGCCCCATTTGAGATATCTGAATAACTTCAGCTTGCTTTATGGACAGACAGAGTTTTCACAAAGGTCCCGTCACATTTGCAGGCTATATGTAGATATTTTAGAATATCCTGAGACATTCAGGTGACATTCTTGAGTAGCATTGCATGTGTGTGTCCGAGCAATTAATTCTTACCCTAGTGACTGGCCAACTTAATCTTTCAGTAACCTTTAGGAACCCTCCTATAAATACAAGTTCCCACTACAGGTTCTCTAAATACAGGCACTTTGATCTGAACTTTATACCTGAAATTGCTGTGCAGCAGTACAGCAAATTGATTATGTGGATAAAATTAGGTTATTAATATCTGAGCGCATGTCAAAGACTGAGGGCTCAGAATTTGAAAACATCATGTGTAGATAGGTGAAAGAACTGGACTGTCTTCTATTTAGTGCTTAGATGTAGGGCTGTGGTCCATCTTCAGTGAGAAGTGCATCTGATTTATTCTTCATTCTCAGTTAGAAAGGGTTGCCAGGTAAGACAGCAAAGATCTTAACAGTTCCATATGTGAGATGACACCATGTGTTTGTACTTTCAGTGCTTTTCAGTTAAAACTATCTGTCCCAAAGCAGATGTGAAGATGACAACAACAGAAAAAAACATGGGATTCAAATTGTACTTTTTCTATATGAGTGAGGTTAAAATAATGATGATTGCAGTTTACCGAAAATATATTGAATGCAGAGCTTCAGGGTTTTGTGTATTCGTTGGAAGTTTGGGGTTTTTTTCCCCTTCTTCCCAAAAGGAAAGTTTGGAATAATTTGTAAAGTTTTCTTTCTTGTTAAAAGACAATTGCCACAAGACTTAGTTTATTTTGGTAATTGCATCCAACTTGCTTTGCCTTCTGCATTTTGTTTAAGGATTTCAGAGTTCTGTGCAGGTTTTCAGTAGCATTTCCTAACAGTCCTCTGGTGAAATAAAGCAATTTCTGTGCTGCTATATGGGAACTTTCCCCTGTACTAAAATCTAGGCGTTAGCAGTAAAAGTGATGGATAAATCAGTCTCTCTGGCTGCAGTCAGATGTTATTGGCTATTGCAAGTACTAGGTACCAATTTTTAGTCTCCACAAGTCTACACTTCACTTAATCAAAGATCACTTCACTCTCAAGGCTGAAAGGAACTCAGATGGACTTTGAAATCCCTCATGCCCTGACTGCTAGTCAGGGAAACTTTCCATGTTTGATGCCGTTTCTTTGAATTCTCCAAGGACCTGTCCTCTTTATTCCACATGCTAGAGAATGAGGTGTTCAGTAGAAAAGTGTAGTCAACCTCTTTTTTTTTTTTTTTAAGAGAAACTTAAAAGTACACAACAATACAGCTTTTAGGTTTTGAACAAAATAATTTTGTATGTGCATGCTGTATTATTACATATTCCTGGAAACACCTCATTCTCTTCCAGTCAGTAAATGCCTTGTGTCTTGCGTTTTCTACAGTAAAATAGATTAAATGGGGAGTGGAGTGTGGTTATTAGGGTATTGGTTTTTTAAGGTGAGAGACTTTATATTAAGTCTTCCCAGCAGAGATTTTTCCTGCTTCCTGAAGAAGTGCTGATGTCATCATGGACCACTTCCAACATCAGAAATGTTTGTCCAAAGCTGTGTATTTTGAACTATATGTAGCTACCTACATATAGTCCTGCTGCTAGCCTTGAAACAGAGCAAGAATTTAATGCATATTTGTGATCTTGAGGTGTTTCCTAAATTGTTATGTTTTAGTTTGGTTTGTTTTTTTCTCAGATGCCTGAAATACCCCATTTTTATAATGAACTCAAATTTCTAACTAGTTGTCTCAATACTAGAAATCCAAGGCTTTTATATGTAGCCCTACAAGAATGTACGAGGCTCAGAGGATTTTCACCTGTTGTCTTAAGTAACTTCTCTTTTAGCTTAAAACATGACTCAAAAAACCCTCACCTATGTGATTTAGCAGCCATTCAGGAACAATAATAAACCAACATGAAAAGTCCCGTTTTGTCTTTAATTTATAGGAATGTCTAATAATTAAGAGCTCTTTAAATTAAGATGTAATAAATCTGAAGAAGATGGATTAGAAGCTGAGGTTAGAAACATGATTGAAGTGTATGTGTTATGCCACTGACAGTGTATACTGGAGGAAGGAAATGTAGTTCTTTTCTAAAGCATTAAAGTTCAAATCCTTTAAAAAAAGTAGTGTTACACAAAGTTCACAAGCAGTCTTAATTTACTAGCGGGATAGATGATAATTGTATATAAACACCACACTATGAGTATGAATTATTACTTATAGCAAAGGTGACAGAGCACTGGCACAGGTTACCCGGAGAGGTCCCAGTGTCTCCGTCCTTGGAGATATTCAGAAACTTCTGGACATCGTCCTGGACAAGGCAGCTGGCTCTAGGTAGCCCTGCTCTACCAGGAGGTTGGGCCAGGTGTCCTCCAGAGGTCCCTTCCAACCTCAACCATTCTGTAATTCTGTGAAAGAAAGGTTTAAATGAATCATCTTCTAAATTCAGTTGAGAAGGTATGCTTATTATCAACCAAATGCTTTCAGGAACTTCCAAATACAAACTGCACAGATTGAGTGATGCTACAGAACTAAAAATCTCACTCAACACTTGCCCAAATAAAATACTGATTATCCTATTGACTGTTTTTCAGCTGTGATTACCAGACAAGGTTATTTAAGTATTGTCATACTTGAAGCTGACAAATTTGAAGTGAAATGAGTAGTGTGTCGAGGAGGTGTGCTCTTGAAGAAAAAACATGTTTAAGTTGATTAAAAAAAACCCAAAAAACAAAAAAAACCCAAAAGTTGTTACAGGCAGCTTTTGCCTCCATCCTTACAGATGTGAATCAGGAGTGATGGTTATGTTAAGAGACAATATGCTATTCACAGTAAAAGCAAATTCTCAGAGAATAAAAATTCTGATGAAATATATTTTCTGTCCTTCTAAAACTACGTCTTCAGTACAGTAATTTCTGGATCAAAGTGGTATTTTTTTGTTTGAAGTTCATATAATCTACAACAGTTAGTCTATATAGAGCTGGAATGTTCCAGTTCCTATTTTTATCTTACTCTTTCTGTCCTTCTGCTACTATCTCGTATCTTCTGTGACTGCACCTTCTTAAATTTTCTCTAGCCTTGTTCTTGTAATTGAGCTTGTACTGAAGGATAGTCTAATGATTGTATTCATTAATACCATGGAAGTGGTATGTTCAGTGTTGTACCCTGATACGAATTCCACTTGGGATGATCACTTGAAAGACTTGCAGCCTTTTATATTAGAAGATTTCAAATAATGAGGTTTATTAACTCGATAAATGTATTATTTATTAACATAATTATATGTTTCACCTGATTTTCAGTATTAAATATACAATTTCATTTGTCCAAAGCAGGCTTATTCTTTGTTTGTTCCAATTGTATTTAAGTCCTTGAGGAGAACATAAATCAGGCTTTTCTGTAGAAAGCTCTAAAACTGCGGTACTCCCTCAAGTTTGTAGCAGCTTCAGGCAAGCACCAAGGGGAGCCTTCTGTCTGTATTCTGTAATACAGTATGCTGGCTTAATTGATGTTGGAGGAGCTGCATGGATGAAAATGAGTTAAGTCTGTGTTTAGTACATGGATTTGAAAAACGTTCAATATAGTAAATGTATTTAAATTAAAGCTTTTGACATACGTTTTGAGTCAGCCTAAATATCTGCTGAATTTTGAAGTACAGCTAGGGAAGCTATAATGTTAATGCAGGATAACCTCATTTTATACTTGCTGTTATACTTAATTCCCAAAAATGAGTAAGTAGACTATTTGATATTTAATTAATTTATATGAATGTATATCAGTCAGCTATTAAAATGTTTTCAAATGTTTTAGATGTATCTTTGTTACTGCTTTTAAATTACTTATTATCGCCTCTTAGTCCCTATCTCCAGAGCAAACTGAAAAGACTTAATTACTGCTAGAAGAGTTACTGTTTTATTCAAAATGTTGTCTCTTGACACTTCGAGGTGACAGGTTTGAATAAGTGAACATAAAACAGACCCCCCCAAACATTTTAATTAAACATCTTTTGTAACTTTATGGTGGTGAAGCTGTGTATATATCAAAGTGCCTACTTCAAAAACTTAAAGTACAAAAATAAGCTCTAAAACTAACTCCTGTAACAGCTTGAAAAAAACTATTGAAGGAAGGGGATTTTTTTAGCACAATTAAGTATGCAGAATATAATGGTTGTGGCTTTTATCAACTAGCAAATACTTCGCCTGCTTATTAAGCATCCTTGTGATCTCCCTTAGAAAACTGACTGTGATGGAATTTGTTTCTTGAAGAGTGCTTATGACAGATCTCAAGCAGCCTTCTCAGATGATAGAACATTATTATTCAATGAAATGGCCAAAGAGGGGTGACTAATTGAAAAATACTAGCTGTTCAATTTTTTTCAAGAGTGCTGAGCACCTAAGCTTATGAAAATACTAAAATTAATACAGATGCTGCAGGTTAAAATACCCCTTTGCAAACAGATCTCTGGCCATAATGCTGTTCAGTTCAATAATTCTGAAGCAAGACTCTGTATGTTCTGTGCTAGCTGTGACTGTCTAGATAACAATCATGCTAATAATTTTCTATCTTCTTGTTTGAAAGGTCTTCCATCTTGTGTCTACATTTCATTCTCTTCTATAAATTAGTCATATAAAACTTAAATTTATTGTTGCTATGTGGCTTTGCTTTGGATACAAAACAATTTACCTGACAATTCAAACACATCACCTCTTCAGGAGGATGGTTTCTATTTGTCCTAATGAAGTCACTTATCAGATACATATATGTAGATTTTTGTATTTTATATAAATATTTTGTGGCATATGTGAATTCTTAACATCTTTTTGTAACACAGCTTTGGTATGACACAAGTTATTGTTTAAATTATGCATTTCAAGCTGAACATTTGTTTGCAGAACACTTTCAAAAACTTCTTTGCTTTATAAGGTAAATACTTTCCACTTAAGAAGTGAGTCAAGAATATTCCAATACATTGACTTCCTAAGAACTACGAGTTGTATTATTTTCATTTCTGTTGACAACTTTTTTGTTTGCGTATTTCTATAATATTTAGATTATCTGAAGTTTTTAGTAGGATTTTTGAAGTTGCTGATCTTTCAATTGTTCCTTTTGCCTGCCACGTATTGGATCTCAATATGTTTCAGTACTATTGAAAGATAATATAGTGAATACTCCCCAATAAAGGTCTGACCATTATTGTAAATAGCATGGCTGCAGACGAGCTCTTGATAGGAAGGGAAGTTGCCCTGTGCATTTGAAGCAAATGATGTATATAATTCTTATCAAGTTAATGCCACAGAAACATTTTAAATGTAGTCAGTTGAGCTGAAAAGGGAATGGTAGTGATCAAGTGATGTAACTTTTGCATTTAGTACTGAAAAAGTGTAAGACAGACTTCAGCACATGTGAAATATGATTTCTGCTATGGAATTGTAGTGTTGTTTCTTCAATGTCTTTGAAAACTGTTGATAAATTTTAAAGTTACTCAGGCAACTCTTAAAGAATTTTAAAATGGCTTTGAAATCTTTGGTATGTAGTGGCTTCAAAAAGGACTTTCTTATGATCATGAGTCTTATTTTTCCTTTGGTAAATTTCACATACAACTAAAATAATATATTTTATGCCATAGCAGCCAAATGGGATACTAAAAGCGGTGCAATGTGTGTATTAAGATTTTAATTTGCTAAAAAATTCTAAAGAAGGCATAAAGAATTAGTAGTATCTATTATATAACTATACATTTAATATCTACTAAGCAGTTTCAACATTGATTCAGTCTTTGTGAATATACTTCATGTTTTAAAAAAGAATAGCAAATAACTCACTTTGTTTGTTAGTACTCTTAATGAATTTGAAATCAGCTTTACTTTTTTAAACCCATAATTTCAAACTGGCAGCTGAAATATAAAATATACAGTGTATTTTATTTTTTGGAGAGGTGTTAAGCATCTTCTAGAGATTGTGCTGTTAGATTTATTTTTTTCCCCAAGTTTTGCATCAAGATTTGATACTGTTGAAATAAGTAATTCTGTTTGCCTTTCCTTCTTCTACAGGTAAACTATTTCATATTGACTTTGGTTATATTTTGGGTCGGGACCCTAAACCTCTACCTCCCCCAATGAAGCTGAACAAGGAGATGGTGGAAGGTATGGGAGGCACACAGAGCGAACAGTACCAAGAGTTCCGTAAGCAGTGCTACACAGCCTTTCTCCATCTCCGCAGGTAACAATACTATATTGATGCTAAAGTTTATTAGAGCCACAATGATGCGGGAGACTAGTACATGAGTCAGAGAAAATATTTCTGTTGAAAATTCAAAATTTGTTTGACTCTGAATGTAGACACAAGAATTTGCATGAAATGAAGGAATGAGAACAGTATTGGTGTAATACGGGGATTGAATGCAATTGTCCTTCATGTTACAGTCCCTGATTTTGCTTGATTAATAGCCTAAACAGCTTTTTCATAATTCCTGTAGGGTATTAAATTATATCTTGCTTTTTGGATATGTTTTTTTGCCCTTAAGCAACTTTTTATCTAATTATTGATGATCAAGTAAGTGTCCTTTTAACTCTTAAGTCATTACTCATTTGGTACTTTATCCTCCTCCAGCTTAGATTATTGATGATCAAATTCTTTGGCTTGAAGAAGGCACATACATAAGCTTGTTTGGGTTCAGGTCCTGCAGGACAAAAATTAACTACTTGTAGTGACAATCAAGTATGTTAGCAGATTCTGTAGATACTCAGAACTGTGACAGCTAAAACCTCTTGAGACTGTATTTGTTTATGAACCAACAGATCTCTCCTTTAAACTTGGAATCAGCTTAATTATTTTGCAGTGACTATATTGCTTACTATCAACTTTCAGAGCTGAGGAGCTCAGCTTTGTCTGTTTGAACAGAACACAGGTAAGCAATCTCGGTCTGTCCAGAGATTAGTACATCTACAATGGAGATGAAAGAATTTCACTTTAATATCAAGATCAAATAATGGAAACCTCCAAGTACGTGGAAAAAATAGTAATATGAAAAGCATACGTGAAAAGTACATATAGCGTGAAAAGTAAGCAGTCGATATGAGGTAAAAATCTGCATGTAGTTCTCCACTTGTTAAGGGGAGAAAGAGTAAGGAGTTGGCTTATGAACAGACATTAATGGGTTAAAAGTCATTCACCAGCCTGAAAAAAACGGTGGCGTGTTAGTTAGCAAACAATATTAATGACTTCAGAGAACAATCAGGAAAGCTAATGTATATTCCATATTCTAAATTTTGCTTAAAACTGTTTCGATCGAAAGGTCTGTTGTGTCAGTGAAGGATTGTCCACTGCATTAGTTTATGTAATGATTTGCTACAAAGATCATCATTAAGTGTAGAGTATAGCAATAATGTGGGTATAAAACTAAACTATAAATCAAGATGGTTTCATTTTTAATGTCTGGGATTGTAGTTGTAATTATAGTCTCTCCAATATTTGTTCAGTTTAATAGGAAAATATTTTTAAATGGTTCTGGATAAATATCTTTAAGGCTTTCAACAAAGATAGCATAAAATAATATTACTTTTAATTTAAGCAGATAGAACTAAAAATTATTATGATTACTTGTTTACTTGAAAAAAAAATAATTAGAGGTATAATGTTTTAGTTCTAACAGTTCTGCATGTTGACACAAACGCGTTCACAGATACTTCTGGCTACGTAGTGTGAAATCATAACCTCTGACTGCGAAGACAAAGTGTAAACTCCGTCATCTTCATCAATTTGTGTTTTATTTTTTCTTCTTTAGTTCCTTGTGGTATAGACACTTTTCTACATATTTCAAGTGCAGCAACTTAGTGTTTCAGGATTCCTGGTGGAATAAGTGTTGCATAGTGGAAACAAATAAAAACAATTTAAAACTTATAAGTGGAAAAATAGTTTTTGTTCATTATTTTAGGTTGAAAGCAGTTTGGCATACGATCACTGGTGTGCGTTTTATTGTTGGTTTGGGGTTTTTTCTCGGGGAGTGGGGGAACTGCTTTCCACTTTTTTGAACAACAGTAATGAGTTGTGTATTTGTTGCCAGTGCTGTAACGAAGGAGCAGCCTCTGTGTTTTGAATGTGTTGCAGGGCAAATTGTAGCTGGCAGCAGAATCTGCATCCTCACTTGGGCTGTAGCAGCCTTTTACACCTTCATTACACACACTGAGCCTATTTGAAGATGTTCAAGTCCTGTTAGGTGTCAGCATTTCCCTTTGAGAATTCCCAGTTTATACATCCTCAGCAGGATCCAGCAGAGAAGAATGCAGCTGCAACATTTGAGAGTTTTTTTCAGGATGAAGTTCTAGATTGCCTTGTTCCTTCCCAAATAAAGGTTTCCCCCATGTTAGTCATATGAGAAGTTTGGTGTTCAGTTTGAGTTAGTGAGCATAAGTAAGGACAAGAGTAGCAAGTAGGGAGAGAAGTTGTAGTTTGGCCTGAGATTTGCTCTGTATGGATGGAGATGTCCACTTGGCTGGACCAGTGTTTTTCCCCAGTCTATTCTCAATGGTATAGTGGACAGAGGAGACAGTATGGGTCTGAATGAAAAGCACTATAGGCAGCAAGAGGAAAGCTGTGATGACCCTTGGGAAGCGATGATTCTTTGGAAAAGTTGTAGCTAGGCATTGCAGGGTCTAGTCTTGTAAACTAAAGAGAAAAGAGCAAAGGTGAAACTGGATGGGATCAGGTCAGTTTTGCTTGAGTCTGGACTGCGAGGAAATACTTTGGGAAGAATGAATACCATACCAAATGAATCCATTGGGGATTATACGTAGTCTAGAGAAGAAGTGAGTCTTGGGGGGGTCTTAAGTTCTACTGCAAAAGAGGTGATCACGTTTTAAACTTAAGAATTTGTGAGTTAGACCAGATAAACAGGGCTTTAGTCTTGAACTGCACTCTATACTTTTCTGTTCTGTCTTTGTAGCGGAAGTTTGTGGCTTCAGGATAGAGTATTGCAATGTCAACAGCCTAAATATTCAGTTGGTAACAGCTGTATACATAGAGGCCAGTAAATGTTGAAAAAATATAGAAAGGAGTGCTTAGTATCAAGCATATATTTAATGAGGTATTAAGCGCTTTAAACCAAATGTTGCCATTCTCCGAAAAGATAGTGGTGAGAATTTGAACTTTTGTCTGATGTAGGTTTCTTTCTTGGTATATATGAGACCTCTTCTGTATAGAAGTATTCTGTTGGATTTCTTGAATTTTTATAGAACCTCCTTATTTTTAGCACTTCATATCCAAACGATAAGTTTAATCAACCTCCAGTGTAGCCAAGTTCTCGTTTATTTTGTAAATTAATTTGTACCGAGCTTTAAGGAAAACAAAGAATGCGTTTACGTGAGAAGTATTTGAGTCAGGTTTAGGGGCTTAATTGAAGCTTCTGAAACCCAGAACTCAGTTCCTAGTTTGTTCTGGCTGTGGATGATGGTCAGGCATTCCAGAGGCCTTTGTAATATAGATGTCAAAGACAGGTGGTATGACTTGCCTGACAAAGGTGTTATGTTTTTTACAGGTCAGATTCCTAGCCCAGGTATTTCAGCAAAATGTCTAGTCTTAGGATGAATTTGGGCTGTCAGTTGACCAGCTGTGGACATTTAGGCATATTTGCCAAAGTTGTTGCCTATAGGAGGAGTGACAGCCAAATGTCTATAGTAGGAACCTCTTACTTTTCTTGTCCACTCCTAGTTTTTTAATAAATTTTCTAAAAATCTGTGAAATCTGACAAGGATCCGAGAGGCAGTTAACAAGTTTACTTGATAAGCTCTTTTTGATCCTTAGACCACTATCTAATTGATTACTGAGTTAAAGAAATGTTGGGGTGAGGGACAAAGAAGAGACCTGCAGGTAGTATCATGAGCAGCTCTTCCCTAATTTTTGTCTCTTCCCACTCCATACTCCTAAAATTACCTTTTCTTGATTTTTTTCTTTTTAATTAGGTTCTTCAGATGATCTTATGCTTCCAGTGCTTTTACTGTAAGCACCAAGAACCAAAAGACTTCATTGTGTGGAGCAAAACCAGCTCTTAACTGGCATCTAGCAATGATGCCTAGACCTTTGACATCTCCTTTACAAACCTCCATTACTTAAATAACCCCTGTAAACTGTAGTGCTCATAACCTCTTATCTTCCATGTGGTTCAAGAGCAAAAGGGACTCTGAGACTCTGGACTCCTGGGTCAGTTCAAACGGAAAACTACCACTGGGAGCTACCAGTGACCTAGAAAGAGACTTGAGAGAATGTAGCTGTAAGCTTTAAGCGTGTTTAAAGTGAGATTTGCTTGTTTCAGACAAGTAGAAAAAGAAATTCATTAAAACCTATGGTGACTGTTCCTGGCAGCAAAGCAACTTGACTGCCAGATTTCTTAGCCAGAGCTGAAACAAAATAGTATTGAAACTTTTATTTTCCTTCCTTTTAATTTGTGATAAAAGTGATTTTTTTGATTCCAGCCCCTCGCCCCTAGGAAAATGAAGCAGAACAGCTGAAACAAATTAGACACAAATTATTTCTGCCCAAACAGTTTGTTTAAAATGCTTGTGTTATAAAGGGTTAAAACTTACATTGGAATATGTTAGGTAGTGCTAATTTCAGTTAAAAATAAAGTGTCAAGAGTTTTTGATGGAATTATGCTTTTCTAAAGAGATTTTTGTTAAGCAGTATTTACTTTGTAAAATGTGGCTATGAAGCAGTCCTTTTGTGTAGTTAAAATACTTTGTACTTCTTGCAATTGTCAGCTTATATGTATTCAGCAGCTTGCTAATAAGTTTTGCAGCTAAGAATTCATTTCCTATCATCTATGAAGCTCCTAGTGCTCTTAGCAAAGCAATATTTCAGATTTTGAAGTCAGTTATGTACTTTATCTCTGAAAGGAGACTAGATCTCTTTACAGAGGAAGGGACGTTTCAGTTTATGTTGAACAGCTTGAAAATTATCCTTTCAAAAAGCAACTTGCAGCTAATTTCCTGCAAGGGCAAGATGGTATTCTTTAAAAGACTCACAAGTGCTTCCATCACCATGTTAAAACTGAAAACTGTACTGTGTCTTGTCTTTTTTAATGGTTATAAATGACACTTGTACTTTGTGAGTGTAGCATGCCTACCAACGTTACTGCAGCTTAACTGAGCAACTGCAGACTTCAATCTTATTAAGTCACTTGTATTCAGCTTGTTATGGCAAAAGGCCTTGCAGCAGCTTGAAAAATCATTTCTTGTAATTGTGAAGACTTCATCTGTTTGGTTGCTAATTTATATATTATTGCTGTATCACTAGTATCCTTTTTAATAAAAAAAAACCCTTTGAATCAATATTCTAACATATGTTTGTCCTACTAGAAGTAGAAAATGGTATTAAATCTTACAATATTTGAAACCATAGTTTATATTTGATGTGTCTCTGAATAAAAGTTCTGAAAATTTCTAGAAAATTTTAACAAAACGAGCAATCTCTTCAGTTTTGGCAGTTTGAGACGGTTTGAGGGTTAAACTTTCACTACTACTATCAGATATCTTATGTTTTAAACATAAATGCGTTCAGCTACAGTGTTATGAGTGCATCTCATCTGAAGCATCACCAGTTCACGCTAATGATGATGTGTTCTTAAATGAAGTTTTTTTTACATAATGTCTGTTGTACAGTTTACAAAGTGCTTTACCTATTCTGCTCTTCTGCTTAGGTATTCCAACTTGATCTTGAACTTATTTTCCCTCATGGTGGATGCCAACATTCCAGATATTGCTCTTGAACCTGACAAGACTGTAAAAAAGGTAATTGGAAAACTTCCCTTGTCTTTCAATAACCAAAGTCATAGCATCATAGAATGGTTTGGGTTGGAAGGGACTTTAAAGATCATCTAGTTCCACACCCCCTGCCATGGGCAGGGACACCTTCCACTAGATCAGTCATCATGTCATTAAATTTTCATGACTTATTTCTAGCTGGTGACCTGAAAATACTTGCTCCTGTTTAATAAGTTCTGAGTGATTTCTAGGGTCATTGAAGTTAAAGATAAGAGTATATAGTTTTAAGATCATTTAGCACATGTGCCCATAAATACGGAATTGCTCTTTATCGTTGATGCAGTAGCACGTAGTGCACACTCTGCTCTTGCATTCTGTTCCAAGTGGTATTTTAGCATTCTGCTATGGACACTGATCCTACCTTCTGAAACTTGATAAGTGAAGCAATCAACACTGACTGTACTGTGAAAGACTGTTCTGTCTAGTCTAGAATCCTACAAGGCATGGATGATTTTACAAAACCTATCTAGTGGTAGATATAAAAGTAGTCTGCTACATGTGTAAAACTAAAAGCCTGGTATATCTTCATTATTAAAAAAAAAATTGTTTACTGTGAAAAAACAAATTCTTCTATGAAACCTGTCCCATAATTATAATTTTGTCTCTTTGCACCAAGATGAATCATTCTTCTCCATTTCATGTTCCAACAACAATTTACATTAAAAATACTGGATGAGTATTCATCTAGATTTCATTACACTTACATTTTAGGAAAATGTTCAGTTTTTTATAACCTGATTTATAATGAAGGGCTGTCTGTTTTAAATCCACAAAAGACTTTGTGGAGCCTGTGTATCCAATGGAAATCAGTTCAGTGTAATTTTTATTCAAGCAGTGGATTTTCTCTAAAATAGGCTGTTCCTCAGTGTTTTCAATAAGCTATGAAAGGAGACATTCAGAATGCTTAAATTAATATTTAATATTATAATATGATGACCTTAAAGAAAACTAAACTGTGACTCCAACTAAAACTTCCCTTTTGCCTGGAAGAATTTGAGCATTCCTGTTCAGAGTTTTTTGGTTTCAAATGAATGCAAAGAATTAATTTAATTTCCAGGAAGGCTGGACTGTCAGAAGTGCTGTATTTTGTGGTAAAGATGTCAATCCTCCCTCAATTTGATTGTTTTCCTGAGAAACTGATGGCTAATTCTTTTTCCATATCAATATTTAAACTCCACCTCTGTCCCTAAATGCCCTGCAGAGTTTCAATAGGTTCCTGACATAAGAACATGAGAGACAGAGGTTTAAAGTAGCAATCAAAACGGTTCAATACCTATCAAGTTCTAGATGATAGGAGTAATTATATTTTTGTAGAGAAACCTTCTTTTGAAGGAAGAGACCTGCCTAACAGTATGCTTACAACACATGTCTTGGAATTTAGTCTTTATAAATATGAGATGTTTGCCTCTGCATACCTGTTGGAAAAATGAGCAGAAGTATTTTTATTTTTATTTATTTTACTTCAGGAGTAGTAAAGAGAGGAAAACCTTTCAGATTGTGAAGTGTACAAATATATGCACAATAAATCCTGGTAGAAATTGAAGTATGTGTTTACAGACAGTGCAAGGGCTAATTTTGGAAAGTATGTTGTTGATTAAAATAGCCATCAAGAGATCAAATGTATGGTTTCATTGAATGCCAGAAGTGCTGGTTCTTTTTGCTTGCAGCAATAAGTTTGAGAGTTGCTAGGTATTATAATCTTGCTCATCCAGAGTTCACTGTTGCTTGACGTGATAGTGCACATCCTTGTTTTGAATGCTCTCTCATGAGCTCTGACATTTTCTTTTTTTCAAACTTGAGTCTCCCAGTGTTGACTGACAATTAACATGCAGTGTCCTTGTTTCTTACTATTATCTTGACATCGTATTTTATGTTGGTAGACTCTGTGAAAGCACTGTTCAAGGGTATATTGCTTTCTCTAATTATAGCAGGATGTCAGGTTCTGTAAAATATTTGTAAAGAATTATTTTACTGTAGCACCACTTGAGTATTTCAGACACTTTTAAAACTCTCTTGCACTATATAAATTTCCCATATAATTTTCTTAAAATAATGAATCAAGATACAGAATTGAAAGCCAACAAGTCTTTTCTACAGCTGCTAAATATGTTACAGTTCACTGATGTAAAGCATGATTGTATTATATCTGACTGGAGACCATGGAAGGAAGCAGAATCTAAAAGGAAGTTCTAAGAGCTGTGAATGGGATCAATGTGGTTACTTATAAATTCCTTTACAAAGTCCAAATGGTAATGTTGCCTTTGCCTGAAAAGAACATAAGTTTATTTGCTGTGTGGCAGTTCACTATTAGATCAAATGCAGCAATTAGTTATTGGGGTACTGATCTCTGACAATGCTGCAGCTTGTTGAACTGTGACTTTTAGCCTCATGGGTCTATTCACAGAGGTTTTAAAATGTGAAAGGCACTAGAACTGAACCAGCAAGGCACGTATTTCTGATAAGAAGTACACATCATTTTTATGTTTTCACATTTTTTGAGAGGAGAAGATTTTATCCTAAGTTCTGTAAATTCATTTACAGTGTTCTTGTTCTTTTAAAAAACAAAACAAAACTCAAACAGTAAGGTATGATGAGAAAGTTAACCAAATTGTTTAGCTTGTTCATAAATGTTTTCTTTGTAATTCATAGACTTTTCAGACCTCCCCCAAGTATTATTATTTTACATAAACTCTCGTTTTTTTCTGACAGCTCAGCTGTTTTAAGCTCCTGTTAACTGTTCAGATTTCATCCTTTTGGTTCAGAAATTGTCCTTTGACTATACTTCTGTAATTTGTGCAAAAATAATACATCATAATGTCATCTCTAAAGTGCAGGTGAACCTTCCATAAAACAGTTGTTGACATTATGATCTACTGGATGCATACAGCTATGTTCAAATCTCCTATGACAGTAGTTGTTTTCTTTAGTTCTCAATTTTTAGTTTTATGTTTTTGCTTTCAAAAAACAGTTAACAGATCAGCGGCAAATGGGTTAGGATCAGAATCATCTTAAGCTATTATAGAATGGTAAATGGATTGATTTTTTTATTTTTTTTTTTTTTTTTAAATAATGTGTTAGAAAACTTGTTTTGGATATTGAATGCCCATTAGCCTGCTCGGATCTTTCTTGAGCTCTGTTAGCACTAATAAAAACAGGAACAAGGTGTCTTGCATCTCTTGGGCTGAGTGGCAAGTTTGTTCAGTCATTTAACAAGATAATACTGTACCTTGTTGTAGGAAAATTGAATAAATGCTTTCAGCATTTTTTTTTTCCTTAAAGCTTTGAACAAAAAATCCATATATATTTCAAGAGACTCAAATTAGCTAAAGATCCATTTTAGACTGACCTGTAAAATTAAATTACCTTTGATGTGTGAGTCTGGTCGATAGCCATTTCAACTGTGATACTGCTTTCATGGAAGACTAAGGTGCAGATTTACAAATGTTTCTGTATCTAAGAAGGTATCCTGCTTAATAATGTAGGTGGAAGTTCATAGCCAGCATTTTCCTTACTGGTGCTGTAGTAATACTCATTTTCTGTTTGTAGAGCCCTTGTTTTTGCTTTAGGGGACTGGTGAGCCAGTGAGGCTCTGGTCACTGAGGTAACAACATAAAGATTACTTTATCTAAATTTGGTGATAAATCGGAGTACTACTGTATGATTAAAGTACAAGGAAATTTATATAGTACAGGAAAAAAAAAATCTGGTTTTTAAAGAAAGGAAAGCTTAGTGAAGGCAGTATTATGCTTCAGTTATTTTGGCAAACAATTTGCTTGGCATAGAGATCTTTGATACAGGAATTTTTTGGTAGGTTCATCTGTACTTCTGTTACCAAGTAAGTATGAATTATTCTAAAGATTACTTCTAAAGAAATGTTTTTCTTGAAAGACCACAGTTTTGATTCCTCATGACAATGTTAGATGGTTGCTTAGGTTCCGGTCTAATCTTTAGCTTCACAAAGTGCCACAGTGCATCTTCCTTATTTCTAACAGGCAGGGAGGTGCTTTATGTTGCAGGAAATATCTGCCCACTGGTGAAAAATAGGCTAGATGTAAAAACATGCTAGCAGGTAAAGCTGCCTTTGGAAATAATTTTTATGTTCCCCTTTTCTAAACTTTCAGAAAATAATTTACTGAGTTTTTAGAGCCAGAATGGGGGATTAATATTTGTAATCATACATATGCTAAATAAAAATAAAATTTGCATATACCATATGATTCTGATGTTTAGAGTAAAATAAATTGAAATAGAGTACTCCTGTAATTTTGTAGGACTTGATTTTTTGTGCTGTTTTTTGTTACTTCCTGTGATATATATTTGTATTATAACAGAATGATCTCTAGTTAGATTGAAAAGATGGTTGGAAGTCAGCATTCCTTGGACTTTATTATGTTCAGACAAATCAGGAAACAAAGTAAGATCATAAAAGAACATATTATGTAGAACGTGTCCTCTTCAGTGAGGCACTGGATGATTTGAACTATGAATTTTATTTTTATTTTTTTAAAGAATCCAGACTGGTATGTTAAATGAGACTTTTTAGAAGAATCTGAGTACAGAAAGCGCTCTCAAGGAATGTTATTACTAACCTGAGGAACAAAAGGGAAGGTAGGATCTTTATAGTTGGAGTGTTTTTCCCAAAGTATGATCTACCTTCCAGTAACAACATTATGTCCTTAGGAGCTAACTGACAGAATGTAATTGTATAATCAAGGTTAAAATCTAAGTGAAGCGTATTGTCTGGGTGTCATTTCCGTCCAATAGTTGTGAAAAGTCTTGAGAGAAATATGTATTGAGTCAAGGCAAAATTGAAACAGCAGCTTGTGTCATGTACAGCTTTCTGTAAAATAGGTATAGATTGCACCTGTTTGACATGGTTTATGGCACAGGATGGTGTAAGTGAAGCTGGGTGCTCTGTTTCTGTCATCTGTGGAGGTACTTCCACATTTTTCTTGTTCAAAAGAGAA